GAGAGAGAGAGAGAGAGAGAGAGAGAGAGAGAGAGAGAGAGAGAGCGCGCGCGCGCGCGCAGTGGAACAGTCATTCGGTAAATTCAATAGATTCACACATTAGCTATTTTAAATGACGACTCATATTTACTTTATGGCGTTATAGTTTTATCACCATTTAAAATAATAAGTTATTCATTTGGAGAGAATACTGTGCATTAATAATAATTATTATAGGTACAATATACAACCAAATACTGTTGGTTGACACAAACTTGCATGTTTAACTGGTTTTCTTAGCAACCTAGCATGCTAATATTTCCCAAAAAGTTAATTTGTGGAAAACAAATTCAACTGCAAAAGGCAATTTTTATTTTTATGATCAGGAATTATGGATAAAACTTAACCCTTTTCACTCCACTTATCCATGTTTGGGCATTCCTGTCAGATTCGTAGTGACGGAAACACTGCTTCACGAAGCTTCGAAGCATTTACTGAACTTTTGTTTTGAATCATTAGTTTGGAGCTTGTATCAAACTCGCCAAGTAACGTGATTTCAGCAAACGAGGCTTCGTTACATACCTCGGTAGGGCTCCAAAGGGCTCGCCGGTAGATGGCATTGGTCTGATCCATGAACGAGTCTTTTTTTTAGTTTTGCAATGTAGGTTCATTTTTAATGAATTTAATGAATTGTAATGCATTATACAAAAAGGATAATGATACTTAATTGCTTCCAACTACTGTTCCTAATAACACACAAAGCAAACACTACATATTAATAAAAACACAAATTTTAACAGAACCTTCATATTCAATGGATTTAATTATTTGTAAATTATATTTAATAGATTACACTTTCATTGAGACATTTGCAGTTGGTTTGAAAAAGGTGTCATTACACATGTTTGGGCTGGGTTTCATTGCACTTACACAGCTTTTTTTTTTTTTATTACCAGCAGGTGCAACAAGCTGTTCTGAATTTTTCAAAACAGTGAATCATTTTGCTTAAATTGATTCAGAGCTACAAGAAGCTTTGCTTCTCCCATTGCTACAGATTTGTTTAACACAATATTCATTTAAATAACTAAAACAAGTGAGTGAGTCACTGAATCATTCACTCAACCGATTTGTTCAAGCACACTAATTCATATACAAACACCACTACTGTGTTGCTCGGAGACAGTTTTCCAGTCCATTTCTGCTCTTTGTGTCTTTGCTAACGAGTCAATGAGTTGAAGCAGGTGTGTTTGATTAGGGAGGCATAGAAAATCTGCAGTGTTGGGTGAACTCCAGGAGCAGGACTGGGAAAATCCGACACAGCCGCCTCGCCGTTGCGAGAGTTTTTTGGCACACGTCAGCATGACATCAGAGCAAGTCGGACACATTTCTAACCGGCATGCATCTCGCGGTGATCACCGGTGATCGGTTCTGCGCAGATTTTGCTCATCTCAAACAAGCCCAATGCTTGAGGGCTCTGGATAATTTATGCCATGCCCAAAATTCACCTGGTGCCACTGAATTTACTCCGTTTCACTTGTGCTTTTGCTTTAAGTAGAAACACAGATAGTAATTAAGTCTATTAAATTAGTCGTAACCAAGTGCTCAGTAATTTTCATGCATGTTAAAAAAAGGTGAAAAACAGTATAAGAAAGTGGTAGATGGCGTCTTCATTTGATTGGATAATTAACTCAATGGAGGAGAAAGGTCCAATCTGTGTAAAGCTCCTCGTTAAACTCATTCTGTTCCTGATTGTACAAAAGAGCTTTTATCTATGCTATTCCCCCAGTGCTTTGCAAGTTTAATTAATCATTTTCAGATGAGTTCACCACCCTGTTCTTTAAAGTAACTGCAGAAGCAACCTTCTTAAGTCTCGGCACAACCATAGTATGCGAAGCATGTGAGAGTT